CATGGTGTAAAGTTTTGTATGGTTCATGACTATTTTGGACTTTAGTGGTCTTGACGTGTGGTTCGTGTTGACCTTTGACTTTCACCATTGACAATTAACTTTTTAAATGGTTTGACTTTTTGTCAAACTTTGATAGATATGAAGCTTTAAACTAAGGTTTGACCGCTAATTAGTAATCATTACTGACAAGCTTTGTATGGTCAATCTAGGTTGTTTGCACTAGTTGGATTGTTTAAGGAGTCAGCATGAGAGATTTATACTTCTAACTTCAGGTGAGTTTTCTCATTACACTATGTGTGACATTAGATGTCCTTGTGTGGTAGGTTGTATGTGTGACGTGTATGTGACCATAATTGGACTATAGGAATTGTATTTGAGACTTCAGTTTGACTTTATCAATTATAGGTAAGACTATAGTTGGACTATATCAATTGTAGACTACAATTGGAATATATCCTCACACCCCGCTAATGATGAAAAACGATGTAAAACAGTACAAGGTTTTATGCATAAAGTAATAGATAACACCAACCATAATCTTCACTTAAATAAAGTTTACAATAATCATTCCAAACAAAAACTACATCAAGTTTGCATCCTAAATTGTTGAATACATACAAAAGCAACTACATAAATTTTAATAGTGTATTCATTGACTGTTCCTTGAAAAACATGCAAAAATGAAAGGTAAACTTTGAAAATATTTGGTGATATCATAGGTATATTACTATACACTACTTTAGAAAAGTTTGTTTGATAAATAGTTTTACTGAGTAAGCATTGGTTCCTACGTAATTCAAATTTGGAAAAATCAAGTATTTAATGCTTTTAGGTATATTACTATACACTACTTTAGAAAAGTTTGTTTGATAAATAGTTTTACTGAGTAAGCATTGGTTCCTAATGACCTAAATGCAACTAAGCACCACATTCTATCGTAAACATGAGGTTGTTTCGGTAATATTCACTCATATTTGTAGTGAGAATGGGGGATGTCAACCCTAAATAGTGCTATCCATAATGACTATCAGCTCAAAGTGAGTTAACAGGTTGTATTTAGTTTCCGCAGACTAAACATACAATAGTAATCTCTAGCATACAATAAAAGTGTATAAGAAAATACGTACAACTACATTGATAATTGCTCAAAATACATACAATGATATCATAGTTTGTACTTTAATATACATGTTTTTCACCCCAAATTTAAAGAGTAAAAGGGAGCTATGAATACTCCTTAGGAAATTGCGCAAATTCTAGTGTTGCAGTTTTGTGATTAACGAGGGCAACATCTACTTGTGTCCTAGAAAACATAAAGTTTCTAATGAGATTTTTTCTATTTATCAATAATTTAGTAATACTTAATCAACTACTTGAATTATAAAGTGCCATAAGTTTATTTGAATTCTGTTATTAATAAATGGAATTATGGGAACCTTATAATAAAAAAATCTCAAAGGTATGAAGATCATCTCCAAAAATTACCAAAGTTTATTTTCATCACTTAGCAAGGGATATAAGACTTCTGTGATTTTGGTTTTAATTTTTAGACTTGTATATTATTAATTCACATTTTATGCTTAAAATAATAGGAGAATTAAGGATAAATAGTAAACAATTAAGAAACACTATGAAATACTTTCTATAGTTACTTCCAAATTCATGCTTAAAATATAAAGCAAAAATCGAACTAAATATCACACAGTAATAAAATGGCTGAAAATTTCGCTAGAGCCTTTATTTGTTATGTATATCAACTCCATAAATTTTCTGAATTTTTCTTCCTTTGAAAGTATTTTTTTGGGGATTTATGGCTCTAATTTAACTATTTTTATATAAAAATAAAGATATGACATTTGTAGTTGAAATGACATAGAGCACTTTTTCATATCATAAGTTTACTGAGAAAAATGTGATTCTATTTTATTTGGTGTTTGATGGATACATTTAAACCCCATAAGTTATGAAAACATGTGTTTGTTTATTTTGAACCTGAAAAATATAGCTGTTAGTTTGAGGATTTTTATAAATACTTCTATAAACTTGTAACCCACAATATTTGTACTCTTATGAGTTTTATATGATAGGAATTTGAAATAATTGTTTCAAGATTTTTAGAAGTGAATTGATCCCTTGAACATGAATTACAAAACTATCAACTACAGAAAATGTCTTGTTGGAGCAATAGTTTTGTAAGCACGATTTAGGGATCAAAAGCTTACTAGTTTTTAATGAAACAAATTGGGTTATAAATCTAACCAATAAAACTATATTTCATAAGAAAGAACACAATTTTTTATTAAGAATTGAAGGAGTTATGGCCTTGGGAAGTCAGGTATTAAAATCTGGCAGAATACATATATGCAAAGAGCTTAGATAAAGTGTTTTTAAACCTTATTTTTACAAAAGGGTTTAAATCCTTCCTTTAACCCATGATTAACATGCATCTTGCCAACATTTCCAGAGGTGTAAATGATTTTTATAGTGCATGAAATCAAACTATAATATTTAGTTCTCAATAATCCTAATAATGAGTGTTTTGTTCTCAGATGATGAAGAACAATAGAAACAAATTGAGTTTTAGATTTTTACATATGAAATATGATTTTTAACACATAAATGGTGTTGAAATATATATATGGAGTACTAGAAGTGGTTTTGATAATAAGAAGAAACCAATTCTGAAGAAGGAGAAGATGTAAAAGTCAATTTTTTATGTTTTAAGAGTAGTTCTTGTTTCTTTTTGAATTTGACATGTGTTTGATTATGGATTAACACTCTTTTTAATATATGAACATGTGAGAGTGGTATGTTAGGGCTTATAAGGGTTGTGATAGAGATCCAGATTCCCAATGGACCGCGTATGTTCTCTTTCGAACTAATATTTCTAACCAATTCTCATGTTACAAGAAATCCAGTCTTGGATAATCCAATGGGACACTTACGAATATAGGCATCGAAACATAAGCCAAATTGCTAGAGAGTTATGAGTTTGTCTTATAAGAAGAGAGTTAAGAACGTTATTTTGATGACTCAATAGATGAGCCATATTTATACTTGACAAATTAGGGTTTTCATCTTCTCTATTAGTTAAGTAAATCCTAGAATTAAGTGGGGCCACCGCTAGGGGCTCTGCCCCTATGGCCCCACAATGGGGTGCAGCTCCTTTGATCTCCTTAATTTTTGTATGTCGAATCATAATTTGATCTTATATATGTATGCACTGCCCACTCAGTAAACATATAATATATATTACAAATTATAGACTCCTAAATCACATATTAATTACAATTACACAAAATATCTGGTTTCCTAGCTTGATTTTTAGAGATGCTAGATCACCACCAAGCCTCAATTTTGTGGGTTTGGAGGCTGATATTGATTGAACTTTGAACGAAAAATCTTTCTAATTTGTATAAAAAATTAGAGTTGACTAGTCAATGACTCTATTTACATGTAGGTTTTAGGCGGCACATACCAAAACAAAATCCTCAAAATGATTGATGCCGGGTAGTTTTTAAGTTTTTTAAAATAATATTTCATGATATAAACTTTAAATATTTCATGATTTAAATAAAAAATCAAATATCTCTCTCGAATGGGATGAGAAGAAATAACAAGTTGTTCCCAAAAAGGAGCAGATTGGTATAGCCAGAAGAGAGTTGACTCCATTTCTTGAACTTCTTCCACATTCCCAAAATGCCCTTGGTGATGTCTTTGTAGCCCCTTCTAATTCATTCTAACTAATACTTTGCAAAACACAATTATACCCTTGTTTATTCTTACATGGCTAAATTCATGTTCAGGGGCTCTTCGGTTTGTTCAGGTGATTGTCATCATGATGCCATTCTCCATCAAGAACAATGCAACAAGGCTAACAAAATTGCATATTATTCTGAATTGCATAAGTATCATACTAAGTATGTTTGTTATGTCCATTCTCATTAAATATATATCTTTTTTTTTTTACCACTTTTATTTGGTTGATAATATTTTTTTTGGGCAGAATGATAGGAAATCAGTAACTATGGATAGAAAGATGGGTAAATTGTTCTTTTTTTTTTACTACTTTTACTTCCATATTTGTCAGCATTTGAATTCCAGAGTTCTTGGGTGGTACCTACAATTGTATTGATAAGGTTGGTTACATGCAATAAAAAAAAGCAAATGGCACCGGAGACCATGAAGGTTAAAAACTATGCATCTATTCATAAATGCTTATTGTGCTATTAGTTTTGGTGTGGTAGATGGCTCATAATGGTCAATAAAAATGTTCAAAGATCAAACCCAAAAGAGAAATTTCTAAAGACCAATATGCAAATACGGTTTTTTCTTTCACCAACATGTTTTCACATATATATTTTTGGTTGGAATCGGAATTCGATTCCATTCTAGTCCTGCATTTAGTTTAGTTTCAAATGAGTTATAAGTAGACAAGAATGTCATTTATCAACAGAAAAGCATGTTTCCCACAAATACCATGTCTCCTTCCATTGTAGGAAAAGTAACTAGAACTTTGTTCGCATAATTCCATGGGATTTATTAGTGTTTGCTTTTGGATTGTATAATTATTTGATGATTTTGGTATTTTATTATTGTTTAGTTTAGGATTGTATAATTATTTGATGTTTTTAGTACTTTTTTTGTTTTAGATTTGTAATAAAAAAATTAATATTATATATTTGCAAGGGATCAGCGACGGAAAAAAAAAATCACATCCAAATTTTTGCTAGGGATCAGCGACGGAATATAAAAAGACAGATATAGAGGTTTGCAAGGGATTAGCGACAAAATATAAAAAGACAGATATAGAGGTTTGCAAGGGATTAGCGACGGAATATTTGTTTAGTTTTGTCACTGATGTCCTAAAATGACGGTATTAAGGGAGCAATGTGCGATGGATACTCCATCGCTAAATTCATCGCAAGGAAAATCAAATCCGTCACTAAATCTCTCGCTAAGTCATTAGCCACGTTTTATTTGGCTATCGGGTAAGTCTGTCACAGATCCGTCGCAAAAGACCTTAGTGACGGAATAGCGACGGATTCATCTGTCGCTAAAATCCATGTTTCTAGTTGTGACTTATCTCTATTGATGTTGACGATAGTATAGAATTCAATACATATGATTTGGCTATAATATATAAATCAAAACACCAATTATGAATACTTAAACTATAAAACAACACATACTTGTTCATTTATTGCATCATAATGACCAAAAACCTTTTGTTTTTATTGTTCTCACCATGTTTTAATGAGAAAATGAAGAATACAGAGTAGGTGTTAGCATCAATGGAACTTTCTTTACTGCGGTAGCTCCATCATTCTCTGTTATGTCAACATCATTAGGGCTTAATTCAAAAGGTAGTTTCCAATTGAAGTGGTATAACATTTGAGCGAGAGCAGACTGAATAGAAGTTACACCAAAATTAATCCCAGGACACATTCTCCTCCCTGATCCAAATGGAACAAACTCAAAGTTTGTACCCATGAAATCAGTAGTGGACTTTTCAAATCTTTCTGGTTTGAAACTTTCTGCATCATCCCAATATTCAGGGTCAACTGCACATGCAAAAGCATTGACAATCACTTTCATTTTCACTGGTATATCATAACCAGCAATCTGACATTGTTCTCTACATTCCCTTGGGAGTAGTAGAGGGAGAGGAGGGTGAAGCCTTAAAGTTTCTTTGACAACAAATTTAAGGTAAACCAAATCTTGTAAGTCACTCTCAGTGATTTTCTTCTTTCCCTTGAATGCTTCTCTCACTTCTCTTTGTGCCTTATCCATCACATCAGGGTTTTTCATCATTTCTGTCATTGCCCATTCAATTGTCATAGCACTCGTATCTGTGCCTCCAGTAAACATATTCTATATCATTAAGAAATAGTTAGAAAATCTTCTAATGCTCCAAACTTATCATAATAAAAGACACTCCTGAAGCACATTGTATAAGAAGTAACGTATAGATAATCGGTACCCCATTAGAGTCGGGGAAAAACTCACACTGTCATGGTAAAACCTTGTATCAATGTCAGTTTTTTATACCAAACCACAAAATGTCACTCCATAACCGTCTAAGCAATGCACCATATGCCTTAATTTTCAAAGTCAATTATTAAAAGAATTACAAGAAATCAGTCAACTATTCGTATACTTTTTTGGCATATTTATGCAGTTACAAAATGTATAGAATTATATTTACAAGAAGATATGTATTAGTCGCCAGTTGTTTGTTAAAATTATTTAAAATTTTGGAGAACATAGTTAAAAGACTCCACACTTTGAAGCATCATGAATTTGCCAATCTCCAATGATTTCATGTTAGGTACACTAATTCAACAAATTAACTTATAATTGTTTTTTTTTATTATAGATGCACACTCATAATGAGAAATTGCTGTATAAACAAGTTCACAGAACACTTACAAGTAAGGAACATTTATTGTTTTTACACGTTTATATCCATGAACCATATTGACCAAATTATATGTGTAATAATTTATGGTTTTCTAAAATTTCGAATCTCAACAAATCAAAATATGATGTCAGCCAAATTTTGGCGAGTAGTTAACTTACTAAACAAGTACTAATGTTTTAGTATTTATACCATAATGTAGTTTTTGGTTATTTTTTTTTTTTTATAATTTGTTAGAAACAGTAAACTATGAAAACGATGATTCAAAAACGTATTAAAAGGGTTGTATTTTTTTGCAATACGAAAGTAAAAAAGGAGTTTATAAGCGTACCACAAAGACAGCCTTGATGTTGTCGTCTGTGATTGGGAACTGAAGGCCACCACTCTCTTTGATGGTGAAAAGAACATCAAGCAGATCGTCTTCCGAGGCACCGTTTCTTTGTCTTTTGGTTTTCCGTTCCTCAAAAATATCATCAAAAATCTTATCAAGGCTTTTGTGAATCTTCGTCAACTTAGATTTCATCCCAGAAATGACCGAAAGGAACCCAAACTCAGGAAACAGATCTGCAACATAAAACCCACTCACCAATCTCCCCAAATCATCCACCAATTCGATCAATACATCTTGTTGTTTGCAGTTATCCCCAAACGACGATTTGCACACAATGTTGTTGATCATTTCCGTTACCTTCTCACGTATGACTATTGGTTTTTCACAGCTCGAACGGAGGAACTCGATGAAATGGTCGACCTCTTGCTCACGGAAACCACTGAACGACCGGACTTTTTTGGCACTTAAAAGTTCCACAGTGATCATCTTCTTCATTTGTCGCCAGTAATCGCCGTAAGGGCCAAGAGCAACGTCGGAGCTTCCATACAACACAATATCGGCGAGGAGAGTGTAGGGGCGGCTGGCGAGGGCGAGATCGTTGGTTTTGAAGACTTCTTTGGCTAACAGAGGAGACGAGATGACAATGGTAGAGATCTGGCCGAGTTGCATGTGCATGATGGGACCATATTTCTTGGCTAACTCACGGAATGCATGATGCGGCAGTGCTCCAGCTATCTGATGGATGTTTCCAATAATGGGTAGCTTTGGTGGACCTGGTGGAAGATTTAGAGATTTCGAAGCGTTGGGTTTTCTGTTAAGGATGAAGTAGAAGGAAAGAATGAGGGAGGAGACGAGGAGGAGGAAGGTGACTCCGGCGTCCATTGTTGTGATGGAGAAGATGATGGGTGTGCTCTGTCTATTTATGGAAGCTAATTGGATTGGAATCAAGTTGACTTAATTATTGCTCATTCTATTTTCACATGCAAATTTACCATAAGGCTAAATATAACGCTACTACAAACTCACCGGAAAAGAGGTGTTACCTCTGCGTCACGTCACCTTCACTACCAACCCACTCTACTAGTCACCACTAACAACATTCACTTTTATATTATTTTTTTATTTTTTTACCATTTTATTAAATAAATAAAATATTAAAGAAATAACATATTTTATAAATAACATTTTATAAATAACATATTTTATATTAATTAAAACCACATTACATAATTTAAAACATAAAAAATTAAAACTAAAATACTAAAAAAACATAATCCATATTTAGAAAATTATACCTAAATTATTAAAAAAACATCAAATCTAGTTGCGATATTGGTCGAGAACTTCTTGTTGAATTTTCATAAAGACCTTTAAATTTTCCGGGTCGAGATTGGGTTGCGGTAGTTTGTTTACGATTTAAAGATTGGTGAGTGCCAATTGTCGCCGGCGTTGCTCCTCCGTTGAATCAATTTTGTTTTTCTAAAAAGTTAGAGTTTTTTCGATTTTCTCCGCTAATACGTCCTTATTGGTTGATTTCCCGCTAAACGAAGCCCCCTTTCTCGCTTTGTCCCTACCCGGTGATCAACGAAGATGGACGTCCGATGGACCCTCCCCCTCGGTGGCGTCGAACTCATCATTGAGGTTGAGGTTAGCACTGATCTTCGACTCGGACGTTCTCGGCCTTTTGTTGGAACCGGTGGTAGATCCCGAATGCGTCGTTTCCGGATAAATGACCCATTTTGGGTCATTGCGACAAACTTCCCACACTTTTTGGTTACCAAAAGGTTTACCATTGTTGGTAATTTTGTATTGGTGCAACGCCGTTGACAAAATGTTGAAATCGTTGCTACCACTTCGATGCATATTTTTTAAATTGTCAAATACGTTGTTAAATTTGGTACACGTTGCTCTAAGATCGCGCCATTTAGCATTGACTGAATCATATGTACGGCTCGTTTTCCTTCCCAATAACGCGTGGAAGTGGTCTAAAATACGATTCCAAAAGCTTTGTCCCGATTGCGCGTTGGCGACATCCCCGTCTTGTGATATGACAATCCAAGCTTTAGCTAAAGTCGCCTTCTCCTCCTCTGTGACAACCGTCAAATTTCGGTCAAGACAAAGTCAACCGAAGTCAACAAGTCAAACCGTTTGACTCAATTTGCCCGTGAGTACTAAAATTTACACTATGAAACTTCTACATAACTCTCTATTCTAATGAGAAATCATAAAGCAAAAAGTGCGAACACCTAGATCTCCTTAACCTGAAACTGTAGTACGTGGCGAGTCAAACCGATAAAACAATGTTGCATACTCATCGGGAGTGTGTAAGATTCTTAAACAAGGCTTAACAGGGTTTACGAACCGTGCATTGCGAAGCCGGACACTCACAAATGCCACACTCGAAACCTCTCTCAATCGTTTTCACTCTATCTCTCTCTATTTGAAATCTCTCTAAGTATGTGAAACTCCTCCCAAAACTCTCTTTGAATGAGAAATCCCTCTAAGTATGTGAAATCTCTCCCAAACCTCTCTAAGTATGAGAAATCTCTCCAAGAATGTCAAATCTCTCCCAAATCTCTCCAAGTATGTGAAATCTCTCTCAAATATCTCTTTGTATGAGAAATCTCTCCAAGAATGTCAAATCTCTCCCAAATCTCTCCAAGTATGTGAAATCTCTCTCAAATATCTCTTTGTATGAGAAATCTCTCCAAGAATGTCAAATCTCTCCCAAATCTCTCTAAGTATGTGAAATCTCTCTCAAATATCTCTTTGTATGAGAAATCTCTCCAAGAATGTCAAATCTCTCCCAAATCTCTCCAAGTATGTAAAATCTCTCCCAAATCTCTCTCAAAAGTTCCAGTAACTTTTTAGAATCATTCGGGTCATTCTGACCCTTAACCGGGTCAAAAACGGCTTAAAACGGGGCGAAAACGAGAAAAAATAGGCTTTAGGAACCGAAACCAAGAAGAGAGGCCTCTTAGGACCAGAACCGAGCCTCTGTTGGCTGAGGCATGCGAGACCGAGCCTCGGTCTCTGCCCCTCTCGGTCTCTACTCCTTCTCTCCTCTCTGTTCTCTTCTCTTCTCTCGATCTCTGTCGCCTTCTCTCGGTCTCTGTCGCCTTCTCTCGGTCGCTTCTTCACTCTCTGTCTCTACCCGCCTCTCGGTCTCTGTCTTTACCCGCCTCTCGGTCTCTGCTCTCTCTTCCCGCCTCTCGGTCTCTGCTCCTTCTCTCCTCTCTGTCTCTTCGCGCCTCTCTGTTCTCTCTTCTCCCCTCTCGGTTCCTGCTCTCTCTCTTCTCCCCTCTCGGTTTCTACCCTCCCTCCTCTCGGTTTCAGCATCAGAAGGCCGAACCTCGGCCAGATTTCGGAAATTTGTCACTTTTAGCCCCTTTTTGATATTTTTAACATTTTAAGCCCGTTTTTCGTGATTTTAAAGCGGGATTTTCTCCAGAAATTATATTTTAACATAATAAACCCTAAATATTCATAATTTAAACATATTTTGATGAAAATCATTATCTAAATAATAAAAATCAAATGGGTGAATTATTAAAGGTGGAATGTTGACTTTGCCTTATCCAATGTCACAAGCAACCACCTTACACCCACTCTATGCCCAGCCATACCTCCCCACCTTACCTAGGTCACTTCAATGTCCCTTACACTCAATTTACACTCATTCCCACGTTTTTAGAGCTGGAACAAACATCCTCTCTCCTCATTTCTCTCATTTGCTCTCATTTCACTAAGTATCAAACACCACTTTTCTCTCAAACTTTTTCCACTCCAATTTCGAGATTCAAGGCTGATTTTCAAGTGTTCTTCCACTCTTAGTAAGTATAATTCATCCTCCTTATGATTATTTCACTTCATTCTACTCAAATCATGGATATCTTACACAAACTCCATCATATTTGCGTTAGAGCTTCGAATCTTCAAGTGATTCTTCAAGTGTTCTTGGGTTGAACACTTCTCTTCTTCAACACTTATCTACTGAAATCACTCAAGGTGAGTTCATACCCCTACATTTTCATGTTTTCTCAAGTTTTCAGGGGGGGAATACAAGTTAAAACACTAAGAACATAACTAAATTTTTCTAACAGCCTTCATCAGAAAAGTTCAACTCCATTCACGGACTGCTTTGGGCATCTTAAACATTTTTGTTTACAAAACTGTACAAGGTGCAAATAGTTCAAGTTTTTAGATTTAAAATGACTACTTGCACATCTCCATACGATTTTTCTACAATTTATGGTGATTTTTACAAAACTGCCTATCATTTCAAACAACAACCCGGACCAGTCTGTGATTATGGACTTTTTCACCCAAGTTGGAGGTCATTAAAAATCGTGATAAAAATTATGAGTAAACTAGACACATTTTTTGAACCCTCAGAATTTACGGATCTAGTTTTTGACTTCGTATGATTTTTCTAAGATTTTTCCAAAACAGGGCAGAATGGCTAAAGTTAGCCAACAACATGTAAATATCATAACACTTTGTATTATGTTGAGCAAAGTGTATAATCATAAGTTCTAATTATTGAATGTGTTTCCTTGTTATTTTGTCATCATGAACTGAAACTAAGTAATTCATAATAAATATTATTCATTCATTTTAGAACACGTATATTAAACTATAAAGGTATAGTTTGATAAATTTATAACACTAATACATTTTCATAAAAGAGTTTATACATATTACATACATTTTTGATAAACTATAATAGGTATAGTTTATGATACATCACTCAACACACTCGTACAAAAAGGGTACATTCATACAAGAAAGATTTATATATTCACACATATTTCACGTAAACTTGTTATCCTATATTGTGAGACTCTCTCTCTCTCTCTCCCCGTACGTCCGAGTGCGGGATATAATTCCTGGTAGTTATAATCAGAATCTCCTTGAGGGAGAACGTGATACTTGTATATAGATCTATATTGGGTTTGACACCCCACACCTTACTGCTAGCTACAGTAGGACCTGCAGGTCTACGGGTGACAAATGTCATTTCAGTTTTCGCGATGCCTGAGAACGTCGTGGCAGGTTCACATAGTCATAGTATGATTATAGCGACTCACATAGGGATATAACAATCCATAAGTTTACGGGATTTTATTTTTAAAACCTAAATGAGTTTTATGTCGATTTAAAATCACTTTTTATCTCTATGAGTACAGATATTACTGTACACTTTTGGTTTTGGTAGTTATGACTACACATCATTTGAAACCACATTCATACCTTTAAGTATGGTCAATACTTGTTATTACTCGGTCCTCTAATTTAGGACTACATATATAATGTATTAACAAACATGAGAACATACAGAAATTTCATTTAATTCAAACGCGTCCATGTCCATTTAAATACATAACATTTTCTATTAATAAGAAAGGTTACTTATACATTTTGGTCTTCAGTCATAAGACTACATTACACAGATTTTAAAGAAAATATCAGATTTTCTGGATACATATTCTAACGCTTTTACAAGGAAAACGATTTACTTTTCTAACGAAATCTCTTATGAACTCACCAACCTTTGTGTTGACACTTTTCAAAACTACTTGTATTCTCAGGAATTCAGTGAAAACAGGAAATCAACAACGTTTTGAGGATGGGACGATAAATCGTCAAACAGTTCATTTTGTATCATAATGTAATTGATGTGAATCATGTAAACATGTGCTTTGATGTAACGTTTTCAATTATGTTTGTGTTGGTTGTATTTACTTTGAGCACTATTATACTCATTGTTGTGATACTCTACATGAAGTCATCCACCCCCGGACGTTTCCGCCATCCTTGGTTTGGGGGTGTGACATCCTCGGTCCATTGGGTGTTTTTCTTCTTTGTTGAATCTTTTGATTTTTTTTTGCCTTCTACGACTTGGTTGTGTTTCTTGAACCCGTTCGTCGTCGTCTTCATCGTCGAGGTTTACGGGTTGAGACTGCGATAATGGAACTTGAGATGGTTGTGAACTTGGTTGTGGCTGTTGGAAAGTTTGGG